TCCTCTTGCTCTTCCTCGTCCATTTCCTTTGCTCTCTGTTGAGTCAAAACCTATCGTTTTTACAAGGCATCTGTCAAAACCTATCGTTTTTTCAGCTCTCCTGAGCACAGCCCGCCTAAGCATACTCCTAAGCACTCCTAAGCACAATCCCAGAGCCCTCCTAAGCCCTGCTAAGCTCGCGCGCTACGCAATTCACATTGTGATGACGTGCCTTGGCCCTTTTCACAGACAGCAGGATCTCCCTCATCTGCTTTCGGTCTTCTGGTGCCTGGATCTGACGCTGTTCGATGAGGAAGCCAAGAAGAAGCTAACACCCCAAGCTAACTAGAAACTAGCACAGGTTGGGCAAGCTATTCCTCTAGCAGGTGCTTACTAGGAGGCTATAGCTAAATGGTTCAGGAGGGTAATGTCCGGTTCCCCTTCATAAAAGTTGATTCCTCTGAGGTCTGCGCTTTGATGGTGTGCGCCAGCATTAAAAGGAACCTGAACGCCTCAGGGATGCTCAGCAATCTGAAAATTTTCGAAATGCGTGTTGGCTACCTCTAAAGGACTCTTGCCAGGACTCTAGCTGTGTTTGTGCCAGTGTATCGGAGTATCCTGGTTGTTTTGTTGTCCAGAGTAGACTATGAACACAAAGGAGCAAGGACCATCTGAGCGAATGGCAAAAGTAGGGGGCCCGGTGGAACTTTTGAAGTATAAGCATAATATATGGCTTTTGCGATTGCTCTTGATATCTTTTTGCACAAGTGGGTTGGAAACACAGCTTGCTAACCCAAAATCCAACAAAAGACACGATTGGCCGTCTCAGGTCCGAGGATCGCCGTCTTGACCAACTTGAAGGTCCATGACCTCCAGAGCATTGAGATGCTGTGAGTCATGATCCCCACTCGTAATGAGATTGTCTCACCTTGGAATCAATCAATCCAATGCACCAAGATTGGGGTCCCTTCGCTAGGTGGTCCAACTAGGGTGTGGTGTATATCTATAGACTGACTGACAGAAACCCATGTGAATCTTTCAGACGAGAAGTTCCGTGAAAAACACCTGTTTGTTCTCATAAACAGGCCCAACCTGTCTACCACGAGCAAGCGATTGGTTCTGCTTCCCAACTCCACAAGCAAAGATAAGAAGTCTGAAGACAAGGAAAATGCACTCCAACCACTCAGAGAGAGAGAGAGGGAGAGAACACACGATGACCTGGCCAGCGCACGGTCCTTGCCTCTCCCATCCCCCTCCCAACTCTAACTCAGATCCCGACGGCTAACTCACCGGAGGAAACGAAAGAAGTTCCCCCTTTGAACTCAGGTAGCTGAAGCTGCCTTTCGTGAATTGCTTGGGAACGAAATCGAACACTCGCAACTCACTTGGGAATAGTACACAAAGCTAGATCATGCTAGATCCCCAATTTGAGCTTGAACAGCGACACCACACCCATTGCTGATGCGTCTAGCATCGCAGCCATGGATGCTGGACATGACACACCCCCTGTCTTGCGGAAAAAAAGTATTGGATGTAAACCGGTGATGGCTCCTAACGTTGGCAAGGCGGCCTTGACCTTGTATTCCATCTGGGTTGAATCACAGCAAAAAGAACTGGGTGCGCAACCCGGTCAACCCAACCAGCCTGGATAAACCCTTTTGTTGGCACAAAGTCGCCCCTGTGTTGTCCTTAGCCCTTCAGCCAGTGCTCCTGCGACTTTCTAAACATGTCAAAACAAAAATCGCACCAAGATTCTGAATCGCATCAACATTAGATCATTGGATGTGAACATCCTTTGCATTGGCACCCCTGAAAGGCAGACCAAGCCCAAAAGTTGCACACTACTGGTAGTGTGAGCCAGGGCTTCAAGCGCCATAAGCCCTCAAATTTGAATGATTGCAAGAAGGCCCAGCATGGCACAGCCTTCCGCCATTGGAGTGGGTTTGCACGAATTCGGTCGGTCAGTCTGGAGTTCTACGTTGGCGTCAAAGCACACAGCCTTTCGGGAGCCTTCAGTCACTGTTGCCTCGGCGCGCAGGTCTGTTTGTGTGGAGGCCGAACTACGTCCGAACCAAGCGGAAAGGTCGTGACCAGTCGACCGATGGATGACAGGTCACAAAGCCTTTGAACAATGATTTCACTGGACTGCGATTTGAAGTCCTGATTGATGTCCTGACGTCCGAACTTTCTAAAAGAATCTCGTTCAATAGAAGGACCCGGGCAAGGATTGAACTTTGAAGATTCAGGGCTCTTGCGCAATCTGAGGCACCATGGTGCTCCAGTTTGGGACGGTGACACACTGTTCAAGAGACCACGACCATATTTCAATGCTGTGGCATCTAGCACCCCCTGACTGCTTAGAGAAAAAGTAATCTCTTGGTTGGCACTAGTTCCAGGTCAGATCGAGAACAAAAAAGTTGCGTTGTACTTAGCTTGAGGATTTCAATCCAGTAGTCACTCTACATTTCTATCACCACACACCTCCACGACTCCACGACTACGACTGAGGTCGTTTCTCTGGACATGAGCGTGGAGAAGAAGGTCTATTTGGTCTCCTGGGAGTCGGTCATTGACTCTTTGCATGGATCAGCTTCAAGAAACTCCTGAGTAGAAAACCATTTGAAGAACATCATTTGTAGGGGACTGTTTGCTTTGAAGTAGCTGTTCGAACCGTTTGTGGGGGAGAATTCGACGGATGAAGTTCTATAAGATTTGGCCACACACCTGCTAGTTTATTTGGTGTGGTGGCTGGGGTACTTGATGGTGGGGCCTCTGTTGATCGAGAACTCAGCCGGAAACATCCGATCGAACTGAGCCGAGCAAACATGTCTTTATCTCCGACTGTTCAAGACTTGTCATTCATCAACAACTGCGGAGAAAGATTTGCCTACCATTTGCCTACCATTGTTTGGTCTTGATCACTTTTTGAAATCTTGCTGGTCGTTGGAATGTGCATGGGTGTATGTCTTGACCATCGAAGCTCTAAAGCTCCCCAACCTGTCAGCTGGAACGCCATTCGCGTCACCAGGAGGCTGGGAAGCCTCAAATCTTTTGTGAAGAACAGACGTGGACGCTGCAAATTGCATATGCACTGCAAACATACATGTCTTGAAACGCGAAGGTTGTATTGTTTTGAAGCTTCATGAACGCAGGCTTGCTGGCAACCATCCCACCTACATTGAACACTGACACAACACATAAAGACACTTTCTTTTCACACAGGGTCTATCTCTAAGTTCTACCTTGACAGAGTCTATAATAACCATTCATACATGGAACCCAAACTGGGGCGTGTTGGTATCTGCCGTTGGTGAATCCATGCAAGAATGCACAAACAAAATGATATCGGTTAATTTCTTTATCAGAAGTTCTGGAACTGGGACTCAGGCTCCTGGGCGCGTGAGATATCAAGCGTGCCTTGGATGACCAAGAGAGAATAAAGAATAAGCTGTGCAGCCATCGAAAGCTTGCCTCCAAGAAAGTTCGCTTGCTGATGACAAACAAAGAACACGTGGGCGTCTGAAGCTTTTGACAGCCATCAATCAAAAGAAAGGCTATTCTTTTCTGTCGAAAATTAGATTATGCTATACCAACTGGAGATCTCGATTGGGGTTCTCCACCTGCAAACCCACCAGCTTGCATCCAGCCTCGGCTTCCCAAAAAAACAAGGGAGCCTTTCATTGGGGTACCCCCCTGCAGACGATTTCAAGAAATCTGAACATGGACCCAATATTCAGAGTATTCTCCTCTACCACCCAGACCACTTGCAGGATCCATGTTGCATGAGGATATTGACCAGCAAAAGATAGAAGATCTCGTTCTCAGATGAGATATTCACCTCAAGTCGTGGATGAACGCATCATTGATTCCAACAAGTCGTGGATGTCGAATCGAGTTTAAGTCGATTCGACGTCCGGGAGCCATCGAGACAAGCTCGACCCAGTGATATCTATGCCGACCCACTCCTTGTGGAATGAATGCATCTCACTGACGACGCTTGACGCGGTGTCCAAGCCTTCCCTCATTGCCATCCATCATGGCGGTGTGCCCAAGTCCAACCATGGCGGAGGTCCGCATGAATTTCGAGCGGACCTTAGGATCCTTAGGATCCTTAGGCCGGCCTCAGAGCCGATCGTTACTGCAGTTGAAAAGGCATGAAAAGGCCATGGGAAGCGTAGCTGTCATGGTCGATCAAGCGGCTCTGAAAAAGCGCGTGTCATTGTGCTGGAAGCTGGGCCGTAGTCAAGTGGGAAAAAAACAACTTAAATGACTTAAATGTGTATACTGTAAGCACAAGCTGCCGTGAAGCACAAGCTGCGGTGCACAGGAAGAGCAGTCAAATCATGTCAAATGGATGAACAAGTGCATGTGTTTCACCAAGCCACATGACATGCCGTGTTTAGTAGAACTACTAGTGATTCACATGGCACAGCATGTTTTTCGATTTGCGAAAGCACGCATCAGCTTCAAGAAGTGTCCACCTCAAAGAGACACACCAGTCGACTGGTCTTGAAATCGCTGTCTTTTTGGCACATCTGGCATCCACGTCCCAGTCGTGGTGCATCCTCTCAGCCCATGCGCCGATGCGGTCCGTGCGGTCATCCCTCATGTCCCACCGTCTCCTCCGGCTTGCTCTGCTGCAAAGTCTCCTCAATGACTTGGAAAATCGATCATGGGGTCCCCAATGACTCAGCGGTCCATCTAGTGCATTGAGAGGACCAATGGCACAGACCCCAATGTCGGTGATTTAGATGGACCCCATCTGTCTAGGACATCATGGGGTCTGTGCCATTTACTCTGAAACCACTGTAATTAAGTCAATCCATGACTGATGTGGCTGTGGATCAAGACAGGGACACCCTGGCTTTTTCCCACGCGACGGGAAGAACAGGATAGACTGCCTGGGAGGTCCGCCTATTGTATTTGGGGCTCCGGCTTTTGACGCACGGCCATATGACGTCTCCGTGTCTTGTCCCAAGCTTCCTTGCACCATCATGAAGACATCCCAAGACACATACCTCTCACGATGGTTTTGGTGCGTCTTGGTGTTCCGAAAAAACCTGCCTGCTATGGAAATGGTCTGCCCCAAGAGAGCTTTTCAGGAGCTGCGATGCAGCGATGTGACCCTGTTCAGCCACCAAACTTCCCTTCGCCGGCCGCGCCTGGTCTTTCGGAGGCGCTGGCTCAAGCAGAAAGGCGTTGGTCTTCGAAGTTCTTCTCTTCACCACCAAGCCTTGTTCATACTCCCTTCTCGTCCGAATTCGCAAACACAAGTGTGCCACGTAGATTTGGCAGCAAAAGCACAGGAGGAGCAAAGCCACATAGCCGTGGATACAATAGGTTCCAGGCTTCACGTGCATGCCATAGGAAGCAGGCAAGGTTTCACCAAAGAATTCTAAGATCATCGACATGGCCAATCCTCCCAATCCAGCTCCTAGAAAGGCACTAAGGCCCCAAAGTCCCAAGTATCTTGAAGCCTCATCGGGATCAGGCATGGTGTCGATGGTTAAGGCTAGATCTGCAGACATGTATGAGCCCTTCCCAAATCCATAGATGCTCAAAAAGAGCAACAACATCATCTTCTTGGTCTTGAAGCCATGGAAGAAAAGGCAAATCCAGAATTGACTTCCCATCGCCAAGATCAAGGACCCACAGCAGGCCACTTTCTGTGGTCGGATGGCGGTGCGTGTGAAGAGGATGGATGACAACAAACCACCCAGAACTGCGGCACCCACGGTGCTCACAGAGGCCTCTGAGAGGAGCAAGGCTTGATCCATTTCGGAGGTGATCTTCAACCTGGGCTCGGTATTTTCGAGTCATAAAAATGGGAGTGCTCACCCTATGTGGCTGAAGGGAAGTTCTTTTGATACCGAGAGTGCTTACAAAGTTGCTAAGTTGCTTGGGTAAAAGATTCAAAGTAGGTGCTCTCTTTTTTGTTGCAGGAACATGTCTCGGGCGAAGTAGAGAAGAAAGCTTTTGGAAGCCGCCGCAACATAGTAGAAGCCTGATCAGGGTCAAAACCGTGGAGGTGTTCATGCAAAGGTGCAAGGGGCTGACCCGAGCAAGGGGTAGCAAGCACGAAAAAAACAAAGGAAATTGCAAACAAACACATCATTGTGTGTACGTCTGACTACTTGACAGGCTCTTCGGAGAAGCATACGGTGAATCACTCGTCCGGAAGACATAGAATACTCATTCAGAGGGCCATGGAAGTCAGGATCCTTGCAAGATTTTTGGATCAACTCATGCTGCTTGAAGAAGAGAATATATACCAGTTTCCTGGTCCTCTGCAGTTTCATTGGATTTGACTAATTCGTTGCCTTGTCGCTTACCCCCCCTTCCCCCATTGAAAAACAGAACGAGCCCGCGGCCTCGTTCCCACATCACCAACACAAAGTCTGGACTCTTGGCTTCGCCGAGACTGAAGAAGACATTCTGAAGAGAGATGGGGTTACTGGGCAACAGCATGCCGTGGCTACCTGCCTCACAGCTCGCGGAACAAGTTAGACTTTGACGGATCAGCTCACAACACAAAATGCGTGCGAAGACGCTTTCGCATCGGATTTCGAACAGGGGAAACTGGCAACACAAGCCAGGAAACATGCAGGCCTATACCAAATAGAGGTTTGGAATGCCCATGCTGGTTGGGTGGAATGCAGCCCAAAAAAGTGTCACGGTGTCACGCCTCTTGCGCAGAGAAGTGGGTCACCGGGAGGAAGAGGTATGTGATTCCGGCTTGAACGGCATAGATGTAGTTGTGACGCACACCTGCAGTGAGCACAAGGCTCGAGGAAACCAACCCTACTGCTGGACCCAGCATAGACCCGGAAGCTGTGTCCTTCCGTTGACTTCAAACATGTGTCCTTCCAAGCTCCGTTGCTACATCGATAGATCTCTGCGTTTTCAGTTGGGGATCCTCCCATGGGATCCGCCCCAAAGACCCAGCGAAACCAACGGTCTTTATGATACGACCCCCAGGTCTTTACTATCAGTAACCAAGATCTGAAGGCGATCAACATCCTTGATTCACAGCCAGTCGGCACCCTGATGTTTGGCAAACTGCCGATGCCATGGTTTGATCGCGCCGACCGTGCGCCGCTCGTGCGCGTTGCTGCGTGGCCTGCGTGGGCTAAAGCCTGGAAGGACAGCATCCCCAGCATGCCGCCAAGAAGAACATTGATGGTCTGGATCGATGAAGCTAATCCAGTACATGATGGATGAATGATATCCTCAAGTCACAAGGATTTTCACGCCCCAAACCCTGGGCCTCAGTCGGTGAACCGAACAAAAAACAGCAGGGCACCTGTGATTCCATGGTTTTGGGGTGCCTGGAGATTGGAAACAAACTACCTTGGCATTGCACTGAACATCTACTCTGGTGTGGACAAAACAATCAAAACAAGATGGAGCCCACGAACCCGAATGCAAACACGTTCGAAAAGCTACATATGTCCAAATGACACTCTTGTAGGACACTCTTGTGGGACACTCTTGTAGGAAACTCTTGTGGGACACTCTTACGGGACACTCTTGTGGGACACTCTTGTGGGACACTCTAGTAGGAAACTCTTGTGGGACACTCTTGTAGGAAGCTCTTGTGGGACGCTCTTGTAGGACACTCTTGTGGGACACTCCTGTGGGACACTCATTTGGGACACTC